TGCATTCCCTATGACCCAGAAATTCCGCTCCTAGGCAAATACCCAAAAGAAATGAGTCCATATGTTCACCGAAAGTCAGGTACTAGAATATTCGTAGCAGCTCTATTCATAATAGCCCCAAACGGAAAACTACAAAATGTCCATTAACGGGAGAATGGAATAAGGTTGCCCAGTAAAATACAGGACACCCAGTAAAATCTGAATTTCAGATAAACAACAAATAATATTTTAGCATAAGTACGTCCTACACAGTAATATTACCCGAAATGCTCTACTGCTGTGCATGGATGATGTCACAGACATAATGATGAACAAAAGCCTAAGAGAATCCAAACTGGGTATTTCTATTTATATGGTATCCAAAAACAGGCAAACTCACCCCTGCTATTAGAAGTCAGGATAGTGGGGGGATCGGTAGCTCCTGGATGAGGACACGAGACATTTGGGGAGCCTGAATGTTCTGTTTCTTGATCTGAAACACAAGAAACAGATGTGTCCACTCTGTGACGATTCATCAAACTGTACACGGTGAGACATGCTCGTATCACATTGTATAGTCAACATACTTTATAAGTATGTCTCTTATTCACTTCTTATTCAGGCAGAGATTATAAAAGGTTGTTGCAAGTATCCAGATCACGATTTGTGTTTCAGAAATTATCGGTGTTCACAGTACCTGCAGGGGAAAGAAACCAAACTCAAATATGATCACTCTTTACAATGAAAAGAATATTTTGATCATTCTTTTATTTGTTTTGGCTCGGTCACCAATTAAAGTGTTTGGAATGCTGTAAAAAAAAAATGCTCACAGTAAAAAGTATTTGTTGTTTATCCAAGGTTCAAATTTAACAGACTATTCTGTCTTTTATCTGACAGCCTTATGCCATCCTCCTGCTAATGGACATTGTGGCCATCAACACATATCATACATGTATTTTATATGTCAATAAAAGTTATTTTTAAAACTTCACAGAACACTGCGATCAACATGGATCCTCCCATTTTTTTTCCCTAAGAATGGAGGAGGGAAATGTCAGTGGGCAAAGTTGGAATTTTTAGTGGGCTGGGAGGGGGTCAGAGTAGAAAACAGGACTGCAAATACTCACGTGGTAATAATTTTTGTAACACAGAACATTAATCTTTTAAAGACCAGAGATACGACCCCTATTTCCATCCTGTTAGGATTTAAATTCAAGTTGCCTACTAGGTACCTTCATCTGTTTTTGTAGAAGGAGGACGGGTGGTGATCAGTCAAGCACGTTATTTGTGTCCTTACCCACCTCCCCCGACAATAACAGACCCCTGTCCTCTAAACAGTCATTAAGGAAATGGTGAGGACCCCCAACAAGGTTGAGAGGGACAATTGAGAAGTGCAGCTCCTTGTTAGATGTATCCATTCAAGTGGAGACAAAACACAAAGCTGAGAGAGAGAAGTGAAAAGTCGACTGAGACACTAGATCCAGTGCCAAAAGACAGCCCAGGAAAGGCAGTAGAGGGCAGTGGTTAGACTCAGCTCCAACATTCCTGACCACGGGCCCCTGAGCACATCACCAACCATCTGAGCCTTGGTTTTTTCATCTGGAAAAGGGGGATAATGATAGTACCTACCTCACCGGGTTGTCGTAAGAATTGGGTGAGATGATGGGTGGTAGATTATATTATCCTAAAGTGACCACAATGCGTTTCCTCCTCCATATGCTCCTCTAAAACTTGCCACTCCCCCATCAAGCTGGAGTCTAATTCCCTCCTCTTGAATCTGGTGGGAGCAGAGAGCTTGTGACTGGCCTGTGACCAATAGAAGGCAGCAGAAGTGATGCTGAGTAAATTCTGAGGCAAGGTCATACAAAGCAGTTCCCTTCCCCTTTGTTAGCTGGTATACTCCCCCTTGGAACCCTGGGCCTCCATTAAAGCCCAGCTACCTGGAAGCCACCACGCTGTGGGGAAGCTCAGGCCATGTGGGGAGGCCATACGTGGCTGCTCCAACGGACAGCCCCTGCTGAGATGCCAGCTAACAGATGGTATCAACTACCAGAAGTGAGTGAAGACACCTCCAGATGATTCCAGCCCCCATCTTTTAATACTCCAGATCATTAGCCCTTGAGTCTTTCCAGTTGAGGCCCCAGATATCAGAGAGCAGAGACCTGTCATTCCTGCCATGCCCTGTCCAAATCCCTAATTCACATCCATAAGCAAGATAAAATGATTGTTTTAAGCACTTAAGTTTGAGGCGGTTTGTTATAAGCAATAGTAACTAAAACATAATGTCTTGTATCAGTTAGCTCTTGCTGCATAACAAAACACTCCAAATTCAGTGGTTTAAAACAACACACATGGGGCTTCCCTGGTGGCACAGTGGTAAAGAATCCGCCTGCCAATGCAGGGGACACAGGTTCAAGCCCTGGTCCGGGAAGATCCCACATGCCGCGGAGCAACAAAGCCCGTGTGCCACAGCCACCAAGCCTGCACTCTAGAGCCCACGAGCTACAACTACTGAGCCCACATGCCACAACTACTGAAGCCTGCGTGCCTAGAGCCCATGCTCCGCAACAAGTCACTGCAATGAGAAGCCCACACACCGCAACAAAGAGTAGCCCCCGCTCACCGCAACTAGAGAAAGCCCGCATGCAGCAATGAAGACCCAATGCAGCCAAAAATAAATAAAATAAATAATTTTTTTAATTAAAAAATAAACCCACATTTATTTAGCTCACAATTCTGTGGGTCAGTGGGCAGTTCTGGTGCTTTGGGCAGTATCAGCCAACCTCTCCTGGGCTCACTCATGCGTCTGTGCTCAGATTGTGGTCGGCTGGTGGCTGATGATCTAAAATGCCTCACCTACATGTCTGGCAGTTGGCTGAATGTCAACCAGGCAGCAGATGTAACTGGGCCATAGGACTCTCATCATCCAGGAGGCTGGCCTATGCTTCTTCACAAGGAGGCAGGGTTCCAGAAGCAGCAAGAGAGGACCAGCCCACTGTGTAGGCTCCTCAAGTTTCTACCTGCAGCATGTTTGCAGATGTTACATTGGCCAAAGCAAGTTCATGGCCAAGTCTAGAGTAAGAATGAAAGGCTCCCCACTAAAATCTGGAACAAGACAAGGATGCCCACTCTCACCACTTCTCTTCAACATAGTATTGGAAGTCCTGGTCTCAGCAATCAGACAAGAAAAAGAAATAAAAGGTATCCAAACTGGAAGGGAAGAGGTAAAATTGTTCACTATATGCAGATGACAGGATACTACGTATAGAAAACCCTAAGGACTCCACACAAAAGCTACTAGATCTAATAAATGAATTCAGCAAAGTAGCAGGATACAAGATAAACATTCAAAATCGGTTGCATCCTTTACACTAACAATGAAATATCAGAAAGGGAATGTAAAAACAATACCTTTTAAAATCACACCAAAAAAAATTTTTTTAAATACCTAGGAATAAACCTGACCAAGGAAGTGCAACACTTATACACTGAGAATTATAAAATGTTAATAAAGGAAATAAAAGAGGATTCAAAGAAATGGAAAGATATCCCATGCTCTTGGATTGGAAGAATTAATATTGTTAAAATGGCAATACTACCCAAGCAATCTACAGATTTAATGTAATCCCTATCAAATTACTCATGACATTTTTCACAGAACTAGAACAAATAATTCAAAAATTTACACGGAACCATAAAAGACCCAGAAGGGCTAGAGCAAGCCTGAGAAAACACAAACAAAGCAGGAGGCATAAATCTCCCAGACTTCAGACAATACTACAAAGCTACAGAAATCAAAACAATAGTGTGTCTCCTTCCTGACTGTCCTCTGTGGTTTGTCTGTGAGAAATGCTGATAGCAATATGTCTTCAGGAAATGCCAAAATTGGGCACCGTGCCCCCCAGTTCAAAGCAACTGCTGTAATGCCAGATGGTCAGTTCAAAGATATCAGCCTGGGGCCTCCCTGGTGGCGCAGTGGTTGAGAGTCCGCCTGCCGATGCAGGGGACACGGGTTCGTGCCCCGGTCCAGGAAGATCCCACATGCCGCAGAGCGGCTGGGCCCGTGAGCCATGGCCGCTGAGGCTGCGCGTCCGGAGCCTGTGCTCCGCAACGGGAGAGGCCACAACAGTGAGAGGCCCGCGTACCGGAAAAAATAAAAAAAGATATCAGCCTATCTGACTACAAAGGAAAATACGTTGTGTTCTTCTTTTCCCCTCTTGACTTCACCTTTGTGTGCCCCACAGAGATCATTGCTTTCAGTGATAGGGAAGAAGAATTTAAGAAACTCAACTTCCAAGTGATTGGTGCTTCTGTGGATTCTCACTTCTGTCACCTGGCATGGATCAACACACCCAAGAAACAAGGAGGACTGGGACCCATGAAAATTCCCTTGATATCAGACCCCAAGCGCACCATTGCTCCGAACTATGGGGTCTTTTTTTTTTTGTAATAAATTTATTTATTTATTTTTGTATGGCTGTGTTGGGTCTTCGTTGCTGTGCACGGGCTTTCTCTAGTTGCGGCGAGCGGGGGCTACTCTTTGTTGCAGTACGCGGGCTTCTCATTGTGGTAGCTTCTCTTGTTGTGGAGCATGGGCTCTAGGCGTGCAGGCTTCAGCAGTTGTGGCACGTGGGCTCAGTAGTTGTGGTTTTTGGGCTCTAGAGCTCAGGCTCAGTAGTTGTGGCACACGGGCTTAGTTGCTCCACGGCATGTGGGATCTTCCCGGGCCAGGGCTCAAACCCGTGTCCCTTGCTTTGGCAGGTGGATTCTTAACCACTGCACCACCAGGGAAGCCCAGACTATGGGGTCTTAAAGGCTGATGAAGGCGTCTCATTCAGGGGCCTTTTTATTATTGACGATAAAGGTATCCTTCGACAGATCACCATAAATGACCTCCCTGTTGGCCGTTCTGTGGATGAGACCCTGAGACTAGTTCAGGCCTTCCAGTTTACTGACAAACATGGGGAAGTGTGCCCAGCTGGCTGGAAGCCTGGCAGTGATACCATCAAGCCTGATGTCCAGAAGAGCCAAGAATATTTCTCTAAGCAGAAGTGAGCACTGGGCCATTTTGGGGCCAGGCTGCAGTAGGTGGCCATGAGAACAAAACCTCTTTTGTACTATTGTCATGCTTAAAACACAGGACCTTGCACTCAGCCAAGATGTGGTGTGGGACTGGACAGGCCTTTCCTGCAGGGGCTGGGGAAGCCAGCCTTTCTTCCTCTGGAGCGAGTGGCCTGAGACGTATTATCGGGCAAGCAAACTGCTCTGTATAGTAGTAGGGCATGACTTTTGGTCTTTTGTAGTTTTATTAAACCTGAGCTGAGACCTTAAAAAAAAAAAATCAAAACATTGTGGTACTGGTACAAAAATAGGCATAGGGATCAATGGAACAGAACAGAGAGCCCCAAAATAAACCCACACACCTACAGCCAATTAATCTTCAACAAAGGAGGCAAGAATATAAAATGGAAAAAAGACAGTCTCTTTACAAGTGGTGCTGGGAAAGTTGGACAGCTGCATGTAAATCAATGAAGTTAGAACACACCCTCACACCATGCACAAAAATAAACTCAAAATGGCTTAAAGACTTAAACATGAGACATAAAACTCCTAGAAGAGAGCATAGGCAAAACATTCTATGACATAAATCGTGCCAATGTTTTCTTATGTCAGTCTCCCAAGGCAATAGAAATAAAAACAAAAATAAACAAATGGGACCTAATCAAACTTACAAGCTTTTTCACAGCAAAGGAAACCATAAGAAAAAACGAAAAGACAACCTATGGAATGGGAGAAAATATTTGCAAATGACGTCACAGACAAGGGCTTAATCTCCAAAACATACAAATAGCTCATACAACTCAACAACAAAAAAACAAACAACCCAATCAAAAAATGGGCAGAAGACCTTAATAAACATTTCTCCAAAGAAGACATACAGATGGCCAGTAGGCACAGGAAAAGATGCTCAACATCACTAATTATTAGAGAAATGCAAATCAAAACTATGAGGTACCACGTCCCACCAGTCAGAATGGCCATCAGTAAAAAGTCTATAAATAACAAATGCTGGAGGGGGTGTAGAGAAAAGGGAACCCTCCTGCACTGTTGGTGGGAATGTTAAGTTGGTACAGCCACTATGGAAAGCAGTATGGAGGTTCCTCAGAAAACTAAAAATAGAATTACCATATGATCCAGCAATCTCACTCCTGGGAATATACCCAGACAAAATTGTAATTCAAAAAGATACATGCGCCCTTACATTCATAGCAGCACTGTTTACAATAGCCAAAACATAGAAACAACCTAAATGTCCATCGACAGATGAATGGATAAAGAAGATGTGGTACATATACACAATGGAATACTACTCAGCCATAAAAAAGAATGAAATAATGCCATTTGCAGCAACATGGATGAAACTACAGATTATCATACTAAGTGAAGTAAGTCAGAAAGAGAAAGACAAATACCACGTGATATCACTTATATGTGGAATCTGAAATACGACACAAATGAACTTA